CATGTTCCAGGCCCAGGCAGAGAGCGCAGATCACATGGCGGTCTCCAGCGCTGAGCGGGGCCCTGCACGAGCCGCAGGAAGTGCGAGGCATCTTTAAAAAGACACTTGCGCTCTTTTAGGAATAGTTTGCAAGGTAAAAAAGGATACGTCGCCGGATAGCGTAGCTCGCACGGATGGCTGAAGGTGGCGAAGACGGCCGGCTTACTCAGCGCTGTCCTAAGCTGGCTGTTCGCTGTTCGACGGCAGCGGTGGCTTCTCTCAGTTCCAGCAATGCGAAGAGCTCGCTGAAGAGACGAAAAATCAGGGAAGTCAGCCTACAGCCCCTACTTTTATACGCTAAGCCACGCCCATTCTGGCGGGCTGTGACGATATGAAGGCACGGGCGCCCTTCATTGGGCGTGACGTCACACCGGGCTCACTGGTAGGCTTCAGCAGTTGCCGCAGGGCAGCCAATGAGCACGCGAGATGGCCTGCTCTAGGTCTGCTAGCTGCTGCACTGCGTTGACAATGAATACAAAATTAAGGATAATTTTTTGGCTTCAATATCTCGAGAAGATGAATCTTTCCCGTAGCGTAAGCTAAACTTACGCAATACGAGAGAACCTCTCGTAAGAGAACAAGAGGATGCTTTATTTGAATGCTGTCCTGGATCACGTTGAAGGATTATATGTTTGTTCTGAGAATTTTGTTTGGTAAAAAAGGCACAGTGAAATGGAGAGTTTGCTAAGAATCTTTTGTTAAAAGATGAAGCAGCCAACAGTATTGGATCTGACAGCAGCTGCATCACAATCCGTAAGTAAATTATTTCATAATGCTTTGATTTTAAATGGAATTATATAGATAAAGTTTTCAAAACACTTATTTAAGTTCAATAACGTGTGGTCGTTGATACTGTTTCCTATGAAATGGCGTTAGCCAATCATAATGGTAATGTATTTGTTTGTTTGTTTTTTTGCCCAAAAATATTATTAACATTATAAGTGAACCTCAAGGACCATATTAAAATAATTAAAAAGTCCATGTCATAACCCTTTTAAAAATGAATGGAGGCCAGGGCTGTTGAGTTCCACAAACACACAAAAAAAGCACTATAAAACCCACCATAAAAATAGCCTGTACAACTAGTGCAGTACATGATGTTTCTGAAATATTGTTGATGCTTTGTAGAAAGAAATGTTTAAGTTTCTATTTGCTGTATAATTACCTATAATAAGTCTTAAATCTCATTTTCACTAGTGCATAATTGAAATATGCCGCTTCAAGACACATTGTGCCAAGTTTGATGAGCTGGGTTTCCATTCTTGTATTTTAATGCAAATTCTGTCATATCACATACAAATGCTGAATTGAAACACTAATATGCAAATTAAATTTCCAAAAAGTGAATAAAAGAACATGCTTGCTCGAGGTGGATACACATTTTTTTTTATTCAGTTTTTTATTTGGTAAGTACGTTTTGTTGTTGTTGTTGTTGTTTTGTCTAAAGAAATGAATCCAAAAGTGGTAGTACTTATAATGCAAAATAGATTTAAGACTTGTTACAAAAGATTTCCAATAATTGAAATGTCTATTTCTCAAAGAATCCGTAAAAAAATGTATCACAAAAATATTAAGCAGCAATACTGCTCTCAACACTGGTAATAATATTTATTATGTCACCACAATCAGCATTGATTTAGATTAGATTTATTTCTGAAGTATCATGTTACACTAAAGACTGGAGGGGTTGCAGCTTTCCCATAATTCAGCTTTCATTTTTAAATATTATAACGATTTAAAATAACTCTAATGTTTATACATTTCACAATATAGCTGTACTTACAATAAAACTAAACATTTACTATAAATAAATCCAGACTTGGTGAGCATTAGTGTATTATTTCTAAAGCATTTTAAAAAATCTGACCCCAAATCTTTGATCAGTAGTGTAAGCTACAATGGAAATGTATTTTCTGAATAAATTTTCTCTCAAACACACTCTAAACTGCAAATAATTGTATTTAATGAGAGATCCACAGTGGCTACAACAGCCATTTCTATTTGGGCATAATCTGCCCCGGATGTGGCGATTTCTTTCTCTTAAACGCGTGCAATGAAAACGCAAATTTGCAATTTAGATGTGAACGTATAAGTAATGACATTAATGTCCCATGACCACTCATAATTGACATAAAACCTGTTGTATGAATTTTTGGGTGAATGATTCCTTTGATTTCTTCAATTTTGCATGTCTCATTTGCTACCATTAAATCGTAATATATACAGTATAACAGGATTAAATAGGCTACCCGGCTCATAGCCATCGAAAAACCCATCGTTCGACCACTAGCTGAAATCACTCCGACACGTGAAGGAAGGAGATCAAATGAAATGCTCTCCTGTTTGTCTAAAGGAACTGGTCTACACATAAATCAGGACAGCTGCAAAAATGAGGAGCTGATGGATTTCCTGAAATAATACTTAAGCCGATGAGACCTTAATTTTGAGGTGAGAGCGAGGGCCGTTAGTGTGATGATGAAGCACAAGTTCAGATGGGGTGCGGACTGCTTCCATAAGGAACATCAGCGGGATTACCTCTCTAATGGCTGCACATTACTTATGAGTGAATAGGAAAGAATCGGGCCAAAGAAAAGTCAGAGGCTCTTTGTGACAAAATAGCCAATTACTTCTGAAAAGCCATGGGCCGCGGGCAGGTTTCACAGAGGGACCGCACCGAGAAAGAGAAGAAAATTCATAATGTTATAATAAACTCCTGCCAGAATCTGACATTTATTCACCTTTCATCATAGGAAATCTGATCATTCAACTTTACAGGAAAAATAAGTAAGTGATTTTTACTACCGCCCATTAACAACACAGCCTATTCTGTACATAACTTTTTTTAAAGGAAATTGGATATTGTCCGTTTCTGTGAAGTCTGAAAGGCAACTTCAAATGCTCTAGATTTCAAAAGTGAGCTTTTATTTTTGCATTAAAGTGACTTACCATTAAGACCAGAAATTATAATGATTTTCGTTTTGATTTCATAATAATGAGATAGGGGTGTGACGGTTATATAACCGTGAGACCGACGGTTATAGTTGAACACCGTCATTAGAACTCTATAACCGCCAAAACCGTGCTATTAAAATATTTTTTACAAACATTTTTTATCATAGAGAATGTTTAAATACTAATATCAGCTTAAGAGGGAAACGGAGGCTGCTACTGCTGGAGATGATTCGGGAGAGGTCTGTGCACCTTTACCGATCAGAGCGCGCGCTGACACGGAGTAAAGCCTTGTTTATACTCGACGCGTCCGCACGATCGCGAAGGTGCGCGCGGCAAAAATGACGCGTTCGGTGCGCAAGACCGGCAAGACCCCATTTGGCTTGGCTGTGTGTTTATATCTATGGGCTGTGTGCATGGCTTTCTTTTGTAACAGCGCGCGCGTCGCCGCGTCCGAATCATACACTTCAAGCCGAATCTGCCCGAGCATGCACGTCTCACCGCACCGGCACGCAGTTTGCGCGTCTAAATTGCAAAGTTCATTCCAAAGTTTTTTCGTTAAGGTTTTGTTACTGTGTGTGACTTATAAAAAAAAAAAAGCACGTTCATTGCGGGCCGCAATATTTTGTGGCCCCCTACTTGACATTAAAGTTTAATGTTAGTGCGGCCCGTCGTTGCGTGTGCCGCGTTTTAAAAATATATATATATTTTTTATCCCTTATGGGCTACCATAGATAGTCTCATGACAGCTTACGGTGGGTTTGTTGCCAATAGTTGTCATGGACAACCACGAAGTACAAACATACTGCGCCTGGAAAAAATGAGCGTGTCGCTTATGAGCGCGCTTGGCGCGTGCCTACATTTGAAATAACGAACTTGAGCAAGCAAAATGTGAGCGGGATATGTGAACATGCCACGAGCTACTGGTAGCTCGCGAGCGACGTGTTGGAGACCCCTGCTCTAAAACAATGTGAGAATAATCATTTTGAGCTTGTAATATGTGTCCAGCAGGTTAATAAGAAGGTTTGCTTTGATTTGTGCAAAGTCAGTAATTTGCCTGAGACACTATACATGTGTAGAAATAATTAAATAAGGCTGAATTCACATTTAGCGCCCAAAAACGCATAGAAAACGCTAGGCGCGCCGCGTTCTCCTTTTTCCAAAGCGCTAGGGCGGTTGCGCTCCGTAGGCGTCTGTCGTTGCTAAGCTACGGTGCGCTTGCGGCATTCTGAAAAGTTGAGATGTTTTTATCTCGATGCGGCGCGCACGCGCTTGGAAAAACGAGCGCGTCGCACCACGACCGCGTCGCTTCCATTATGAGCGCGCATACCGCGCACCTACATTTGAAATAACGAACTTGAGCGCGCAAAGACATGACTGCAAATATTTGTATTTCAAAAGCAATAATCGTTTTTTAAGTATAATAAAAGGAAATGTGCCTTCCAAAAAAACATTCAATATCATTAATGTGTTGTATAAAGAAAATAAAAAGGACATAAGCAAATATAAGTATCACAAATATGTGTTATGAGGAAAAGAAAAAGAATGTTTTTAAATTGAAGTATAACAAAGATTTTGTGTATAAGGAAAATGAACTTCAACTGTCAGAAGGACAGCTCTTGAAGATTGGATCAGTTGTGCTCCTTTTTTGGAATACTTGAATACTATTTTTTGTGGAATACTTGATGCGGCCCCGCCTGACCCAGACTCTACCACCAGCGGCCCCCAGTTAAGTTGAGTTTGAGACCCCTGCTATACACTATGCACTTATACACTGTATACTCAACCGTGTAGTACATGAACTTTATAAGGTTATTATGTCATTCAACATTGGAGACTTATAGCGTGAGTACCCTGTGTATGTAACGCATATGGTTTTATAAAACATATTGGTTCAGTCCTGGATGCTGACTGATCAACACAGCATTCCAGTCGAGCTAAAATCCGCAATATAGCAACAACCACTTGACTTGTGTCAGTGCAATGCAAATACAAATCAAACAGGAACTTACGTGACTGGTGTTCAGCTATCAAGTACAGCTCCTCTTGGTCACTTTTTGATTGGCTGAGCTGTAGAAAGAGACAGAAAGTGTGTAACAATATCAAGTCCTGTGGCCGAACACCAGCTGTGATAGTTTTAAATGCAAAACATGCTTTGAATGGGTTTGAAGTGGTCCTGATATGCCAGGTGTTCTGATTTCACATACCAGTTTGAAAATGATCCTAGCAACCAGGCGGACGGAGTCGGTGGGGATTCTTGGCTGGAGGCGCTGAAGGCATTTACATTCTCTCTTGTGATCGAGCCATGCTTGTTTCTGAAGGGTGAAAATGAGGATAGAGAATAAATAGAAAAGATTTCACAAACATATAAGATGAAGTGACACATCTTCAATCAGATCTCAGATCTTGTCAAATGTGCTTGCTGTGTGTGGTCTCCCTTTAGAGGGAATTATGATGAAAGACTGCCCTACAATTAAAAAAAAGAGTGTCTGGAGTGCCTGGAGAGAACAAGGCTGGTTTGACAGTGACAGCTTTGCTATTTTAAAGCAGCGTGGTGTCTAGTTTTGAGAGACTGGATGTTCTTGAACTGCAAAGACTTCTACAGAGCATCTGACAGACACATTAAAGGGATATTTCACCCAATAATGTAATTCTGACACAATTTACTCCTCATGTCATTTCCAAACCTGCATGACTTTCCGTCTTCTGTGTTTAGCAGAATGTTCCCGCTGCTCTTTTACATAATATAAACCTGAATGAGGAACGACACAGTCAAAGTCCCAAATTGAAGTCATAGAAGTAGCCTATATAACTCTTCTGTTCTAAAGCTATACTATAGCTTTCTGTAAGGAACAGAACAAATTGAAAACTACAGCAAGATTTGAAAACTACAGCAATAATCACTTAAAGTTTGGTCTGTTCCTCTCACAAAGCCATAAAACATATAGTGCATGGGTTGTATCGACTAGTTGTATGGTGTTTGTCCTTTGTCATTTTCACAAAGAAAGACATATGAATACAGGTTTTAAATGACGTGAGACATGTAAACAAAGACAGAATTTTCATTTCTGGTTAAACTATAACTTTAAGTGCCATTAAAAGACAGGAAGTAATACTGGAAAATCTGTTGAATGTATAACGCGTTTCACAGGTGTATGGCTCCAAGCACCAAATACTTCTGATTGGAAGTCCCACTGGACCTCATGCAATTTTCCGATAACTGCCGACTCACGAGCGCTTGTACGGGAACCTGGAGAATTTTATTGACTTTATACTGCCTTTCAGTGGATAACTTCATATCTCTTGGACGGGCAACAATTCATTAGCATAAATGAACACAATTCTTGCTCTTTCACTGTTTTCTGTGGTGCACCTCAAGGATCTGTTCTTGGTCCACCTCTATTTCTAATCTATATACTTCCAGATCATTCAGCGTCATGGTCTTAATTTCCATAGTTATGCTGATGATATACAAATCTATCTTACCGTTCACCCAATTCTGTTTTTTCTCCCCCTTCCATCACTTCCTGCCTACAAGATCTCAAAGTATGGATGGCTCAATTTATAGTTATAGTTATAGTTAATCCTTCACCCAATATATGGTAAAATTTGATTCTAGAATATGCTTTCAACCCCATATCAGCCAGCATGTTAAATTCAGTTAGTAGTGTTCTCCTTTTATTGTCAGTAACATAAATTGTTGCATGCCATCAACATATAAAACAGTGAAACCTCAATTAGGCTGCTTTTATATTGCAAAACAAGTACACTGTGATGGACTGGGTATCTGTCTAGGGTGTTTCATTCTCCAAGCAGTTTGGAGAATAGATGAATGTGAAATGAAAAGAAATGAAATGGAATAAACAGCTTTATCTAGGCTGCTGACTGGAATCTCATTTTGCATTTGTCAATTATTTTTATTTAGGTGTAAAATGTTAAGTAGAAAACAATGCACCTAAATGAAATGAGATCTCATCACAAACTTGTTTGTAAAAGCTCAGATGATTAGTGTGTGAAGAGCTCTTACCTGACACTGAACACTGCAGTACCGTGCCGTCTTACATTGAGAACATCTCGATAGACTTTCGCCTCTGTTAAGAATAAATGAGACAGCATTAACATCAGCCTCAGTGCTGCTCAGTGCATTTCTCCAGAAACTACATCCTCAGGCTGAAGAGGAGAAAGTCTGGTTTGATTTACAAGGCTTATAATGAAGCATTCCTGCCCTGACTAAACATATTTTTCTTTAAAGTATACGTATAATGACCACCTTTGCTTTTGAGTTCAGTCTATAACTTTAAAGCTCCAAGTGAGGAATGTGGTTTACATGCAGAGATCAAATGCATGGGAGAGCCTGAACACAAAAGGTCACGTTATCTCTATAAAATGTCAAGTTATCTCTGTTTAAAAATGTGTTTAATGGGCCTGTGTTGTGTTTAAACACGCATAAGAGTCACGGAAATGACATACTTAGTGCATGCATGGTTATGTAAGGGGTCTCTGCTTTATCTGTTACCGTCAAAATAAACATAATAGATTTAGTCTATTTGGTCGAGGTTTTTTTTCAAGAGATCTTTTTAAAGATTTCTACCAAACAAGCAAAATGCACAGAGGAAGCGAGTGCTAAATTAATAAATGCATTGACTTTTAAATGATTAAATGTTCTGATTACCTTTACAGAGACGCATATTTCGTAATGCTTTCCCATGGATACTGAAATACTATCTGAGAGAGATTTGCCCACCCAAGACCCCCTCTCTCTCCCTCCACCCTTGTCTACATCGCTCCTTTCTGAGTGAACATAATCACAGGGAGTTTAGTACGACATACCACCAGATCCATCTTCTTGCCACCCTGCTATCTGGAGGTAGTCTGATTTTCGAGCATGCAGGCCCTTGACAAATCACTTTAGTGGGGCTTTGTAGTATCACTCTCTCAAGAGCAGAGAAACTGAAAAGGGTCAGGCACAAATTATAGTGCAGGCCTGAGCGCTACATCGAATGGACCGTCTGACCCATTCCTATATAATGACGCTTATATTGTGCATTCTATGCAGGCTGACATGAACACTGCCATTATTTTCATACCACTTTTTTCCATGCTGTTTTATATAGCTTTTTCTTATCCCACTTTTGCACTTTAAATACTTCTTTACATTTTTATGCCAGTGTTTAGAGTTATAGAGAGAGCTTTCACAAAGAGAATGAGAAAATACATTGATCAAAAATGACGGTAAAGGCATTTATGTTATAAAGATTTAAATTTCAAATAAATGCTGTTGCTTTTTCAACTTTATATTTACCAAAGAATCATGAAAAATGTATCAGTTTCCACAAAAAAATATAAAGCAACTGTTTTCAACATTGATAATAATACGAAATGTGTCTTAAGCACTAAATCAGCATATTAGAATGATTTCTGAAGGATCGTGTGACACTGAAGACTGGAGTATGATGCTGAAAATTCAGCTTTATATCACAGGAATAAATACAATTTTAACAGTTATTTTCAATCGTGATAATATTTCACAATATTACTGTTTTTACGGCATTTTGGATCAAATAAATGCAGCCTTGGTGAGCAGAAGAATCGTTTCAATTAAAAAGCTTTTGAACAAAAGTGTATATTTTATACATACAATGAACACTTTAAATGTCATGACAATCTACTGTGTTAACATCCACAAAGGAATCTTTGAATGCTTTCTAACATTGTGTCATCAACAGAATCCTTATGAGATCCAGAACAGTGGAGAAATCTGAGCTATCTAAATCAGACATTCATGCCGGTGGGTATATCTGCTGATTCAGCTTTGAAAGAATCAACATTATGAAAAAAACTAAATATGCACAAACAAACAAGACACAAACAAAGAGGAACACGCTGAAATAAAGATGTTATCAGAACAACAACCATGCAATGCCAAAGCCAAAGTCGCGTTATGAAAATAAATCATTCAGGCCTATGTACAGTTCCTTCTAAAAAAATTAGCATATTGTGATAAAGTTCATTATTTTCCATAATGTAATGATAAAAATTAAACTTTCATATATTTTAGATTCATTGCACACCAACTGAAATATTTCAGGTCTTTTATTGTTTTAATACTGATGATTTTGGCATACAGCTCATGAAAACCCAAAATTCCTGTCTCAAAAAATTAGCATATCATGAAAAGGGTCTCTAAACGAGCTATTAACCTAATCATCTGAATCAACTAATTAACTCTAAACACCTGCAAAAGATTCCTGAGGCTTTTAAAAACTCCCAGCCTGTTTCATTACTCAAAACCGCAATCATGGGTAAGACTGCCGACCTGACTGCTGTCAAGAAGGCAATCATTGACACCCTCAAGCAAGAGGGTAAGACAGAAAGAAATTTCTGAACAAATAGGCTGTTCCCGGAGTGCTGTATCAAGGCACCTCAGTGGGAAGTCTGTGGGAAGGAAAAAGTGTGGCAAAAAACGCTGCACAACGAGAAGAGGTGACCGGACCCTGAGGAAGATTGTGGAGAAGGACCGATTCCAGACCTTGGGGGACCTGCGGAAGCAGTGGACTGAGTCTGGAGTAGAAACATCCAGAGCCACCGTGCACAGGCGTGTGCAGGAAATGGACTATAGGTGCCGCATTCCCCAGGTCAAGCCACTTTTGAACCAGAAACAGCGGCAGAAGCGCCTGACCTGGGCTACAGAGAAGCAGCACTGGACTGTTGCTCAGTTTTGCATGTCATTCGGAAATCAAGGTGCCAGAGTCTGGAGGAAGACTGGGGAGAAGGAAATGCCAAAATGCCTGAAGTCCAGTGTCAAGTACCCACAGTCAGTGATGGTCTGGGGTATCATGTCAGCTGCTGGTGTTGGTCCACTGTGTTTTATCAAGGGCAGGGTCAATGCAGCTAGCTATCAGGAGATTTTGGAGCACTTCATGCTTCCATCTGCTGAAAAGCTTTATGGAGATTTTTCAGCACGACCTAGCACCTGCTCACAGTGCCAAAACCACTGGTAAATGGTTTACTGACCATGGTATTACTGTGCTCAATTGGCCTGCCAACTCTCCTGACCTGAACCCCATAGAGAATCTGTAGGATATTGTGAAGAGAAAGTTGAGAGACGCAAGACCCAACACTCTGGATGAGCTTAAGGCTGCTATCGAAGCATCCTGGGCCTCCATAACACCTCAGCAGTGCCACAGGCTGATTGCCTCCATGCCACGCCGCATTGAAGCAGTCATTTCTGCAAAAGGATTACCGACCAAGTATTGAGTATTGAGTGCATAACTGAACATAATTATTTGAAGGTTGACTTTTTTTTTGTATTAAAAACACTTCTTTTATTGGTCGGATGAAATATGCTAATTTTTTTAGACAGGAATTTGGGGTTTTCATGAGCTGTATGACAAAATCATCAGTATTAAAACAATAAAAGACCTGAAATATTTCAGTTGGTGTGCAATGAATCTAAAATATATGAAAGTTAATTTTTTATCATTACATTATGGAAAATAATGAACTTTATCACAATATGCTAATTTTTTGAGAAGGACCTGTATATAAGAAATTCTGAACTGATGGCTGCTTTTAATTTCGACAAAGAAAAGGAAAAATTAGTCTTATTTTGAGAGGTGAACATGTCATTGTGACCTCTTTGTACTCCATTATTTCATCTTTTATAAAGTCTGCAAAGAAATAATGGCCGTTTGGTTTCCAACACACTGTAATCGGTAGACTGATCACAACATGCTTGGCCATCTGACCAATCAGAGCAGAGTAGGCTCTCGGAAAGGAGGGGTTTAGAGTGACCGGATCCTTTATCAAACGGTTTCAGACTCTTTGAGAAAAGAGGTGATGCTGCAATGTGTATTATGAGACAATGAAAGTGTTTTTTCAACTTGGATACATGTAAACCTATAGTAGAAGACCTCCAAAGCAAAATTATGAGCCTTTAAAATAGAATAATAGAAGCCCTTAAATTGTTACAAATCACTTAAAGGAATACTTTCACTTAAAAAATAAAAGATTCTGTCATTATTTACTCACCCTCAAGAAGATATACTCAAAGAAGATATTTTGAAGAATATATTTTAAGAATATTTTGAAGAACCAAACAGTCAAAAACATCAACTGGTTTCCAACATTCTCCAAAATATCTTCCTTTGTGTTCAGCAGAAGAAAGAAATTCATACAGGTTTGAAACAACTTGAGGGTGAGTAAATGATGACAGAATTTTCATTTTTAAGTGAACTATTCCTTTACTGTAACTAATGTTAGTGAGAGATTTCTTGGCAAAGCACAGTTAGTTTAACAAAGACATAATTAGCTAAGCATGATGAAATAATAAGCAATGCTTAACCTTGGCTTCAACTGGAAATTAAAAAACGTGTATCCAACATGGGCCTGTGGACTCCTACAAAAACTGCTGATGCTTCAGAAGGTACTAGTCATTGGTGGTAATGGAATACACAGAGTCTGGCGCTGTCCAAAACCAAAGCACAGGCTGTAAGTCACAGCACAACACAAGAGTCCGACAGCAGCGGAGCAGCCATAAACTTCCCTCATTACTGCAGACACAAAATGAGAGGTGAGAGATGAACACACAGAGAACTCATCATGATATATCAAAAAAATAAATACTAAAATATAAACTCAAACGAATTGCTGAGCTGAATGTGTAGCTATTTCTTTTTTTTGGGAAAGTTATATGACTTTTTAATGGCCAGACTCAAATCTGCTATTAAAGCAGGCACTTTGATTCCTCATTCCTCAGAGTATTGATTTTGAGATACAGACGGTAAGTGTTTCCCGACTGATAAGAACTGGCCAGAAAAGCAGCACTCTCACATAGCACTCTATTACACCAAAATACTGCAAAGCTGAGACTGCTCTACAGATTCATAAAAGATCAAATTTGGCAAGGTTTGGGAATTTAATAATTGCCATATGTGTGGACAGTACAAGGCAGTGAGAAATAGCCAGGCCTTTAATAATGATGCAAAATGTCAAACGATAACACGATAATGTCTTAAATATTTCATCAAATAACCACTGATTCAATCTCACTGAATTTCACTACAAAGAAGTATGTCCTAATTTTTCCAGA